AATGCTTTGGTCAAAAAAAAAAAGATGTTCAAAGAGAAAGTATAGGTGGGCCTTAGGATAAAATAGATCTATCTTTCTGATCTGGCCTCATTTCTGGCTCTTACTTCATGTCTTTCATGGTCTTTAGCTCATCTTCTCACTTCAGCCTTTGGCCACAAAAGGCTTCCTTAATTTTTTTAAATGCATCAATTCTTTTTTTTTTAGTTTCAATTATTCAAATGTCTCTTAAGAGTTGGTATAAGGGGACATATTACATTTTGTGGGTAGAATGATGCTGATGGACATATTCTTTCAAGCAATTCTTCCAACAAAATTCAAATGCCCCAATTCCTGTATCTGAGAATCTATCATGTCCTCACAGCTAGATTAAGTGCATTCTCTTCTAATTACTAGTGGAACATATATTCCTTTGGATCTATAATAGATCTAGATAATTTTATCCAGATCTTTAAACCAAACAATCTACCAAACATGCAAAAAAAGCAGAGGTCTTGCTTTGAAGACTTCTCTATCATGCAGATATTCTAGTAAATATTCAAAAAGATAACTAACAATATATCCTGAATCATATGATAGACAGAAGTTGTACTGAGATAAGCATGGTCTCCATTCCAAGGAAAATTTGCTTGAAAGAGGTGACATTTAAGTGTGATGTTGTAAATGAATGCAATGTAGAGAGGGAGAGAAATGGAATAAAATCATAAAAGCTCAGATAATCTGACTACCAAAGCAGACTCTTAAATGATAAACTGTGAATGCTTAGTTTGGTCTATGAAAGCTTCAACCCAGTAAGAAGAAAGAAATGAAAACATCCTACATGGTTATGCCACATGGCTTGGGGCTGAGGGTATCAGAGTTTCATATATTGGGAGATAATTCTGGCTTGAGTGTGCTAATGATGAATTAAAATGAGTCTCAAGTTCATGGTTTCATGTTATCTGAAGTCTAATATTCACAATTATTGCAATGCGGATCACAGTATGGGAAAGAAACAGAGGTAAGGAGAAGGCTTTCAAGCCTGTTGCAAAGGACATTCTCTGTGACTAGATTCTCACCACAGAAACAACCAAGATTCAGAACATTATAAGGGAATACTTCTCAAACCTTTATGCTAATAAGTTTGAGAACTTGGCAGAAATGGACCTTTTCCTAGCAAGTATCAACATGCTGAAACTAAACCAAGATGAATTAAACCAACTTAGCAGACTCATATCAAGCATTGAAATAGAAACAGTAATAAGAGATCTCCCACATAAGAAAAATCCAGGACCAGATGGATCTACAGCAGAATTCTACAAGGCCTTCAAAGCAGAGCTGTGACTAGATTCTCTTCAGGAGTTCCTGCTTTTTGTTGTTTTCTTTCCTTATGAAGCCTTGCAACTATTACATACATGGTGAAACTTTCACAAATATTGGTGAAGGAAGAAACTGACTCAGAGAAAATAATGTCAAATTATGATAGAAGGCCTTGGTTCTGCTTTTGAATTTTTTACATAGTCATATAACTACCAGGAGGTCATTTAAAAGCACATTTCTTTATTTCTTTCTTTTTTTGTCAGTAGTGAGGCTTGAACTATGGGCCTGCCTGCTGTCCCTCAGCTCTTCAGCTCAAGGCTAGCACTCTACCACTTGAGCAACAGAGCCACTTCCAGTTTTCTGGTAGTTAATTGAAAATAAGAGTCTCATGGACGTTCCTGCCCAGACTGGCTTTGAATTCAAAGCACATTTCTATGGCCTGTTTCCTCCAGTTAAAATTGTATCACTGAAATATGTAGTAGTTCAGTTTTTACTCTTTTGAGAAAATTCAATACTGATTTCCAGGGTGGATTCATTAGTTTACCATGCAACTTCAAGGATAAATTTCAGTCTTCCAAGAGGAGTTATCAGAAAATAAAAGATGTTAGGTTAGAAAAATACAATCTGACACCAACTAGACCTAAGCATCCACTTCACTAACTGCCTTTTCTAATTAAAAATAATCTGGACCTAATTGATTCATACACTTATTACTTAGAAGTTGTTTACTAAGTACTGATTTTATAAAGAATGATGACTACTAACTTAATGTTCATTGTGTCTACATGTAACTCAAGGAAGAAAAGTACATAGGCATCAGACGTACATACCATTGTATACAAACAGTTGGGGCAGCTACCTCATAAACCTAGAGCAGAGGGCTATCACATGATATAGATAAGGGCACAAGATATTGTCCCATGATCAAGGTGACCATTTTCCATATTTTCCTAGGTTATCTCTCTCCTACTATAGAAGCAATGTCAAGCTGACTGTTGAAAGCTGGGTCTCTGGCTTGTGGTATTACTTAGAGCATAGTTTGATAAGTTATGTTACCAGGGGGATGTTCCTGGAGGTTAATCTTATTCAAGACCCCTCCCCTTTCCTGTCTTCTCCTTCTTGGCTGTCACTATGAGTCAACCCTGACACAAGCTAAATGTTCTGTCTCACTATTAGCCCAGAGTTTATAACTCCAAGGACTGTAGATTGCAACTTGAGAAATCATTGTTTATATCATGTGAACATCTCCAATGTGTTCATAGTGACCACACTAAAGGAAAATGGGTCATTAGTGTTGCTTGTTTTTAAGTCTTTGGAACTAACTTGTGGGGGGGGGGGGAGGGGATTTGGAAGAGATTAGAGATGTAAGCTACAGAAGTTTAGAATACTTTAAGCACAGATTACTGGGGGACCAGTTCGAACTCAGAAGACCAGAATGTCGATCAAAATGCAAATAGTAAAGACTGTGGTGATGAAATGCCAGCGGATAACAAAGATTCTCTTGAGAATTTCTGTGTCTACATTTTGTCCATGTTCTAAGAATTTGCATATATCTGACTGTCAAAGCAGCTCAACATTCAGGTAGTGGCAGGGTTATTGTGTGATCATTTTAGCCGGAATTATGATGAGAGAGTATCAAAGAGATTGGAAAACAGGTACATTTTCCCAGGGATATGTTTTTTATATTCCATTTAATTAATATATTTTATTGTAAAGATACTGTACTGAGGGGTTACAGTTACATGAACACGGTAATGAGTCCATTTCCTATCAAGCATTGTTACACCCTCCTTTATATTTCCCTACCATCCCTTTCCTCCCCACCTCCCCAACTCCTCTCTCCCCTCTCCCACTCCCCACATAAAGTTGTAAAGTTTATTTTCTTGTACATCCTGTACATCTCATTGTTACAATGGGTCACCCTCAGCATTTTGTTATTTCCCTTCCCCCCCCAAAATTGGAAAAAAATGTATATACAAGATAAATGCATCAATTCTTCAAGGTTGTTCTCATGTTCTTGCTTCTCCTACAATTACTCCTACAATTCACTTGGCTAACATATATTTCATTTTTATCTCAACTCGAATGCCATTTCCTCAGAAATTCTTCATTGGCCTCCCTCCATTTAATCAGCCTCTTCTTTTTTGCACTAGAATATTAAAGTTTTAATTATAATTTGATTATAATTTTAACCTGCTTGTTATAAGGTTTTAGATTCTGAAGTGTACTGTCTTCTTTAATCTCTGGCAGAGCCTCTTTTCTTTCATACTGTTTGTTACCATTTGCCATACCTCTCAGGTGTATTTAGCCATATAATACCTGTTTCCTCTGATTAAAGAAGTAGATCTTCATGAGGACAAAAGTCATGTGTTGCTTAGTTCATTGTCAGAGTTGAATAGCCCTATAAAAATTTGTGTTGATGTTTAATGTCTCTTGGGAGGTACTAAGAAGTCAGAAACTTCACCATGGAATTTGTGGGTGGGACCTTTGGGAGATAATTTAGATTAAATGAGATCTTAAGAGTAGAGCCCTAATTTGAGGAAACTGTGGGTTTTTAGAAAGAGGAAGAAAGACTGAGCTAAGATGCTCAGTACCTCTGACTATATGATGCTGCCTTGGGACTGTACAGATATTCCATCAAAGAGAAAAACTCTACCAGATGCACTTGCCTATTTCAAACTTCCCAGTATTTAGAACTATGAGGTAAATAAAGCTTCTTTCTTTTAAATTATTCTGTGGAATTCAGTTACAGCAGAAAACAAATTTAAGTCATTCAGCCCATAGTCAACATCTATACACATCTCTCCGAATGAATGACTAAATAACATTGGTTAAGTTACTTGACTTCTTTGAGTGTTACATCCTATTAATACCATTATGGAATTAATTCAAACCTTCAAATTTGCTAGCATGAAATAAAGCGATGTCTAAGCATCACAATACAATAATCAAATAATAATGCTCCATAACTGTTATCCAGAATCTAAGAGCTCTTATCTCATTTTCCATCCCTCTCTCTGTGCCTCCACATTTTCTTACATTATTAAGTTACACGTTATGAAAACTCTTATAAAAGCAGAGATTTCATAATCTTTCTTTTTCCCTGGACTTTTATGCAGAGAAGTAAAATAAAATTTGGCAGTTTTATACAACAACATAACTTATATGCAAGATTGACAGAGGAACTCTCTGCTCTAGGTAATGAAGAGTAATGATGAAGACAAGCAGATACCACCTCAAGTCACACTTCAGATGTCACAGTCAAGTTTTAATGACTCTATTGACTCTGACAAAGCACTTTAAATCTTTATTTCTGTGTTTTGGACAAATTTTGTGATTCTTTGTAGTTGCCACTGATTGATTGCTGAGAAGAGTCTCCTGAGTTCAACCTCACCCATTCATTCTCAGAATGGGAATTAGAGGAGGGAGAATCTGTTATTGCCTGTGCTTACAAATAGCTATAATTTCACTTCCAGTTAGAAATAATCTATACACACATTACCATAATTTCACATATCTACTGGTGAGTGTAGAATCCAATTGAATGATGGACCTAATTGAATCTTCATTCATGCTGGATAGAGCTAAATAACAAAGAAGCAAATATGCATTGTTCTGTATCGTGGCTCTCAAATTTCTTCCTTTGCCTATTTCCTAAGTGCCAGAAATTGTAGAGCAGCTTGTTGCTCTACAATATGACTGGGCTAGTCCTGAGGGTCTTCACAGAAAAGGCAATTGGGGTCCTGGTCAGCTGGAGATTCCACCTGAATGGTGAGTGTGTGCATGGTACAGCTACTTCGGAGGGCTTGAGCAATCCTCTTCTGCACTGTCTGGCTGTCCTGGCTGGCTTCTGTTGACAAAGGATGACCGGGAGATGAGCACTGGTTGCTCTCAAGGTCGAGAATCACTGACTTCAGCTCCTAGTGTTTCATTTTAGGCCTGTGGAGGCCACAGGCCAAGCACTCAGAAGACACCATACTGGCTCTGACAGCAACACTCACACAGACAAGGCAGGGGGATGCTCTAAGGTAGTGGAGACCCTTCACTATAGGGACATTCACATTCACACGTATTGCTGGTTCATTGTGCATAGAATACTGTATGAGCCATAGAAACTGCCAAAGCAAAAATATTATTTCATATATACTCCTGCTCACCAACCCCAGGGATCTCTGGTTGCAGCCCTTGGACTTAATTAGAATTTATATCAAGAGGAAGTGGCAGGCTTGGGGAGCATTTAGAGTTCCCGACAGATTTTCCTTAAAGCAGAAACCCTCGCCACCATCCTTTCTCCTGTCCCAAATGGGATCCGGGGACTGGAACAGCCCCTCCATTGTGATCTGATTGTTTACTATATTCTTCCATTTGTGGTGAAATATTAGTGTAGAAGATCTGTAAATTCCCTGAAGCCAGAATTGAGTCCCTGAAGCTGAGGATGCCTGAGAAAGTACAGCTCCCAAATGACTGCCATCAGCTCTTCTGTCTCCTGCCTCTCAGTAGTAACTTCTTGGGTCATTTTTTTAGAAGACTAACATAACATCCTTGGTTGGCCTGCACTCTCTCTTCAGTAGTGAAAGAACTTCCACTCACCACTTTTCCCAGCCCTAAGACAACAGGGACAAAATTATTTTCTGTTTGCCAAAGTAGCTGGGTGTAAACCAATAGCCTAAGATATTTTTCACATGAGTGCAGGACTTCCAATCACTCACTGAAGGACCTGCTGTAATTTTTACCAGCACATCTGGTAGTCCATTAGAACTTCAAAGGAAAAGCCTGTGTATTTCCTCTTCCAATATTTAGTGTGTGTCTTAGACAAAGGCAATAGTCGAGATCGATTTTAGCATCCTTATTTTTGACCAAGAGATCACCACACCAACCAGGTGAAGTTGACCTTTTAGGGTCTAAACCCTGTACCTGGGGAGACATTTAGCCTTGGTGCCATCTCTTCTCTTTCTGTGATCAGCCCTGAGGGAGGATGCCATCTGGATCACTGTTGCTATGACAACATGATAAGTGGGTTGGATTTCAAAGACCCTGGGCAGTGCAAAATACTTTACAGTTGTTTTGACAGGCAATAGACAATAAGGGCAGCTCTACAAAGAAAAAAGAAATTGCTGACTTTTCAAGACAACGACTGGATCTTGTCGAGGGTGTTTACAGAATTCACTGACCTGCAGCAACATGAGCTGAGAGAATCACTTGGTTTGTTGTTAAAGACCAGATATGCAGGCTATGCACTGACACCACACCATCCACTGCTAAGAGAAGCTCTTTCACGCCATTGTAACTCATGCTCTTTGGTACACCTGGAAAAAGTAGGAGTGAGAGGTTATTGTTACTCAGCTATAAATAATTCACCGAGATGGCTAAACAGGCTGCAAAGTCCTAACCCAAATGCCAACTTTCTCTGTCTTTTTGACTTCAATATTGACAAATCTGGCGATCTTAAAGGGTTTGCCATTAATCAAAAATTCACAGACAGAATACTTTCAGAATTTACTATGCAATAGTCAATAATAGTAAGCATCCTTAGTATATTATTAAAATAAGTATGATTTTCCTAGTAATCTTTTCACACATGCTGGGAAAAAATGGAACAGGTTGGAGTTAGGTAACAATAAATTCTGGGTTAACATTTTCAAGGCAACTATTGTGAGACTGCCCAAAAATTCTCTTATCCTTAGCATATTTATAGTAAAATAAAGGTGATAAAAATTGTGTGGCATTGCAGAATTATTTAAGAAGCAACTCAGAAAACATCTGTTCTTAGTAAATTATAATGTCCTACAGGATTGGCTATTTAACAACTTACTTAAAAATTGAATTTAAAGAGGATTCTAACATTGATAAGTATACTATTAAGTTCTTAGGGTTACTAAATAAATAAAGTGTTTAGTAGAAATTTTACACATGGCAAGTGCTCAGTAAAGATTTGTTGTTGCTATTGCAGTTACTAGAAGACAACAATTTCATTCACACACATTCTGTTACTAATGTCAGACTACTTTAATCTGTTCCTAGTATCCTGACCCTTTTGCTGCTCAGAGTAAAATAAGGTGTTGACCAGTTCTTTGTTTCTTCCATGAAGCAATATGAAGTAGGATCAAACTAAACTCAAACTGCAGAGTATTTTGAATTATTCCTGAGGAAAAAAAAATTCTCTTCAAGTCCTAAATCCTAAAAAAAAAGGAGGATTACAAACTCTCCATTTCTTTACTTAGGTGGATGTTGGCCCTACATGCTCACTAGATCATCTAGAAATATCTGGGCACTGGTGGCTCATGCCTGTAATCCTATCTACTCAAGAGGCTGAGATCTGAGGATTGTAGTTCAAACTCAGCACCGGCAGAAAGGTCCCTATGAGACTCTTATCTCCAATTAACCACTCAAAAACTGGAAGTGGCACTATGGCTCAAGTGGAGAGCATTAGCCTTGAACACAAAGAGGCTCAGGGACAGTGCCCAGGCCCTAAATTCAAGCCCCACCACCAACAGAAAAATAAAACGAAAGTATTTAACTAATATTTATGTACAGGGCCCCCTATCCAGAGAACTGGATTTAATTGCCTAGTATTCAGGAGGAAGGAATGGAGGAAGTGAGGAATGGAGGGATGGAGAGAGGAAAGGAAGGAAGAAAGGAAGGGAGGAAGAGAGAGAGAGAAAGGGAGGGAGGGAAAGAGGGAAGGAGGGAGGGAGAGAGGAAGGAAGGGAGTGAGGAAGGAAGAGAGGGAAGGAGATTTAAATTCTCACACCTTCAGTTCTTCCTTCTCTATAAGACTTACTGACTTAAGAACTGTGGGGTAGTCCCAGCATGTTTTAACAAACATAAAGATGTGGCCTAGAAGAAGCAGAAACCAGCATTTCTTGAATGCAGGGAGGAAGGGCAAACAGTAAACATTAAGCATATGAATCTCCTTCATTCATTGGTTCATTCATTCATTCATTCATTCCTTCATCCCTCTCTCTTTCCCTTCCTTCCTTCTTTTCTACCTTCCTTCCTTCCTCCCTTCTTTCCTTCCTTCCTCCATTTCTCCCCTCCTTTCTCCCTTCCTTCCTTCCTTCTCTCCTTCCTCTCCCCTCTTCTACATTTTAGTCTGTCAGATAGGTCTTATTGCCCAAGTGGTCTTGCCCCAAGATCTTCCAACTCTGCCACCAATATAGCTAGGATTATACAGACCCTCAATACCATGCTTGGCCAAGAAAGAATATCCTTTACAGTGAGGGTTATTTCTGTCATCTAATCCATACCCACTGGAAGACCCAAGGAGCCAAACAAACCAGAAGAATCATAGGGCTAGACTGGCTGTGGGAAATAGGGTCAATACGCATGAAAGCTCATTCTAGGCTGAGTGAGTCAGTAACATCACTTCCCTAGCCAACCATTCTCATGCCATATTAAAACCCCACACTTCCTTTGTAGTACTTGCAAAGGGTCAGTTCTCTGTAATCATTTGGATAATCTATTTCTCTCACAATTAAAATATTGCCTCATGTGGCCCGAGCTAGCCGCTCCTCTGTTTGTCTTTGTAACTCTCCTTTGAGTACACTATCTAGCAGTGCCAGACCCAGTAAGCTCTTGCTGGATAAATAAATAAAAGGTCACCCTGATGTTCTTGTTCTTTGAAATGTGCTTAGACTCAGATATTCAGTTATAGTGCTACCCGAGAGGTAGATTTTTCTTGTCTTTCTTAGACCTTTTTCAAGTATACCTAGGGAGAGGTCTAAATCTTTTGCAGTATTTCCTTCCAGTGGTATATTTATAATTTGCATTTGGTGTTCTTTTATACCATGAGATATCATTTAGCAGTTGCTAAGGTTATAAACAGAAGCCAATTCTTTTTGAATTGCTTCCATGTAAATGAAAACTTATTTTCAAAAAAATCCCTAATCTGTTTTAATTTCATCTATTAAAGAAATTAGCAGAGAGTACACTTTACAGTCTTCTCCCTTTGTGGTTAAAGGAAGGAAAATCACTGATCCTAGGACTAATAATGAAATCACTCATACCTTCCATAAGCAAGATGCAGAGGTCTTTTAAGATCCTAATGGTACTGGCCAAAACCATGATGGAAAAGATAAATGTGCAGATTGGGTCAGCAATTTTGTAGTCTGGCTGGAAATTAGAGCAATTTAGGTTAAGAGATTTCATACTTCCTAGCAAGAAAGCCTGATTAATGAAATAAGTACTCTTCTTGTTTTTCTCCTTTCTTTTTTAATTTTAAGTTTAATTTTGTTGTCAAGGTGATATAGAGGGATTATAGTTACATAATATGGTGAGTACATTTCTTGTCTAACTTGCTACCCTCTCCCTCATTTTTCTCCCTCTTTGCCTCCTCCCCAATCCTGGCCCCCCTACCAAATTGTATAGATCATTTCCAACTTACAGTCTTGTGAATATCGCTGTTACATTGGTTCACTCTTTGTCCTTTGTCTCACCATTTTGTTGTTCCCTTTCCCTTCCTCTCTAAATACTAAAGTGAGGCCAGCAGTGGTGGCACACACCTGTAATCCAGCAAGTAGAGGCAAAAGACCTCTGAGCCATGTAGAAAAGAGGCTTACATGAGCTATACAGAAAATGAAAATGAAAAATAAAAGTGAAATACATTCATCTTAGTGTTTTTTCAAAAGACTTGACTCAACATTTCTCAAATGAAGGACAATGTCTGTGATGAAAACATACAACACCCACATTACCCAATGTCTTATCATTTATAGCTATGGTGAGGACAGGAAAGGGTGTGATTTACACAGAGCTTGCAGATATCAACTATATATGCTCTTGGTCTTCACTGACTGGGGCTAGATCTTTTTTCCTCCACAGTTTGATACATACACTTGAGACAGGCATCTTTGATGTAGTCCTAATGGTATAAGCCAAGGTGTCATTCTTCTCTGTTTTCACTGATGCCAGGGACATTAGGGAGAAACACCTGCTGTTCTGCCTTTGATGAAGTTCAATGCCAAGGAAAAGCCCATACTCCATTGTCTCTAAGAAACCCAACATCAGCTTCTATCATCATATAAGGCTACTCTCAAAATTCCAATAGCCTTTATAATTTTTAACTGTTTTTTGCCTTACACTTGAAACTTTCAAAGAGCCTTTTGTCCTCCTGACTTCAAATATGTCATTGTCACTTTCACTTACATCTTTTCACATTTTAGCAAAAAATGAAAAAAGCAAAGCCTCTGAAAGTTGAACAATCATGATGCAAAAAAGAAAGAACTAGTCAGTTTCAGTAACTCAAGCTTGTAATCTTAGAGAGTTGGGAGGTGTAGTGCAGGACTGTGGTTGAAGGTTAGCCTCAGCATAGAGTTTGTGAGTATACTTTTCAATGAATAAATTCATGCAGTGGCATGTCCTGTCAGACAGGTAAGTGGGAAATATGAATAGGAGAATTACAGTCCAAATCACAAGAACCTAATTGAAAAACCACTAAAGCAAAAGGTCTGCTGGAGATATGACTCAAGTTGTATAGAACCTACCTAACAAGTACAAAGCAATGAGGTCCAACCTAAGTATCTCATCAAAGAAAGAGAAAATGTTATTTTCCTCCTTTGCCCTACCTACTATACCCACTCACCTCTGTTCTTCATATTACTAGATAGAGATATGTAGTAAATATATATTGCTCAGGATCAGAATCCCAACTCAATTTATACTTTGTGCCTAACACTGGTTTGGGCAAAATAAGCGACTCCTATATTGTAAGTAATGTTGGCAGGACAATGAGTCAGGTGTACGACACTTCACCAATCAAACAACAAGTATACAAGTATGAAACCCAAACTTGGTCGATAAGACTTTTCTACCCAGAAATAGTGATCTTTAGCAGTGACAAGAACAGGAAAAATTTGTTGAAAATACAGTTATTTTAGTATGGTGCTTAGATGAAACACAAGTTTCCCTTATTCCTACCTTGATTTCACTACTCAAATACATTCAATAAATTTCAGCTACTAAGTTTACATTTTACCGACAGGAATGGGAGGGAGGAATGGGGGAGAATGAGGGAATGAGTGACATGGATCATGGCTACTTCTTTGTACAACTAATTAATAATAAAAATTTTAAGTATACATTTTGCTTAAAAGAGTCAGAAATCTCTTCTGTTGCTAACAATCAAAGGACCTTAAGGTGTTCATAGTTTCATTACTGCCCATCTTAATTAACATCATGACAAAAGGAATTACTGTCTTAAAAAGACCAGCTATCAAATAACTGAAGACAACTGTTCTTAGGAATTTGGGAAAGACTAAGGCTTCAGGCTTTGAGTATTCATTTTACTCTTGCAAAGTGGTTTGTTTGTGCAGGTAAACATAGGTTGTTGATACTAGTAAAATTGGAGGATCAGCATCTCTATGACTTAATCCATGTATTTATGATGATGGTAGGTAAACAAACACACTCACCTTAAAGTAGATAATAAGGGCACTGATAAGCACATTGATGCTCTGAAATACATCTCCTAAGGCATGCACAAAAGCTGCCTTCACACTGGCGTTTTCTTGTCCCTCCCCGTGACGAGAGCCTAGACCTCTCTGGTGCAAAACCACAGTGAGTCTGCGAGAGAGCACAATGTTCTGAGTATAGAGAAGATTAAGTCTTAGAAACCTGTACAACTCAAGGAGTTGGCAATAGAGTGTTTTCCAAAATGGCAAGTAGTTAGATAATTATGTTTGATACTTGAACATAAATGCATCAGAGAATTTTTAAATTTTCACACAAAAAAGCCATCTCAGTTTTCTAATTCATTCACCTAATTCTACTCTGCTTCACATAAACGTTTCTATTGTTTCCTTGATGAGAATCATGTATTTGACAGTGAAGAGGGGGAAAAAAATCTCATTCATTTACTAAATGTCAGGCACTGAGCTGGGCTTAAATTGGAAACTTCAGGAAGCTTAATTAAATGTATTGGCTTCAAATGCATACCGCAGCAGAAAGGGCTAAAATAAGAAGAAATTGTAACAAAGTTAAGTTTGTAACTCTTTAAATTTATTTAATTTTTTCAGTGCCATGCTGTTTGAGTAATTTCCTAATGTCCACTGATGAAAGTCCTGTGTGTGTTGTTATATCCTGAGACAGAAATGCATTCATTTATTATACTAGGACTAATACATGTGCCTGCACATATACATCACACTGTAAGTTTTAACATCTCTTTTCCAATTCAAGATGCTAGAGTAAAAAACTCTGTAAATTTTACAGCTGACTCTATTTTAGCTGCAACTTAAAGAGGATGGGGAAAGGCAAAATGAGAACTGTTTCACTAATGACCAGCAAGGAATATTTTGGCTATAATCTCTTTCTAAACCTTTTTAAACAAATATTTTTAAAGCCCAGACATATTGCATGGTATACCATGTATCCCTGTCTTCTTGCAGCAAAATATCTATTAACTCTGAGTCCAACATCAGAAAGCAAAGTAATTATTGTCTACCAAGATCTGGTCATTCCAGAAAATAGTTCTCAGATTGTCAGTATTGGGGTAGAAACTTACTCTTAACTAAGTATGAACTAAAGTTCCCTAATTTCCATTATGACTTCTAGTTAATAGCCTCTCCATAGCTGTCATGTATGCTTATCACATTGCCATTTGTTGTTTAACATGATTTTAAAAGAAGGGAAAACTTACTTAGGAATTCATATGCCACACATATGTGAAAGGCTTGTACCATAAAGTCAGTGCAAATAAATGTATAGCCCCATATGGTTTTGTGATAAGATAGGGATCACACACACACACACACACACACACACACACACACACACACACACACACACACACACACACACAGATTCTTACTTATCCTATGTCTCCTAAAGGACTGGTACCATACAAAGGTGTTTGACTTAGAGAAATAGATCAACTCAGCTGAAATCAAAAGGTCATGCTAGAGGTAAATAGTCTGAGGGGAGAGAACACTTTAGGCAGAAAAACAACAACAACAAAACCCTAGCCTGCAATAAATAGTATTAGGGTTCTGTCTGCAACTTTTGTCACAACTTCTACTGGAACTATCTGTCCTGTTATTGGGTCCCCAAAGAGCTGACTGTTGTTCTGATATGTCTATATTCAGATAGTGCAGTCTCCAGTGACACTAGAAACCCACAATCTCAGATCTTCAAGGAAGCGTTCTAGTCACTCAGCAACTTTACCCATAAATAACTACCTCCTTAAGCAGGGGAGACAAAGCTTTCCAGTCCCAGTTGTCTTTCTAGGTGTGCAAAATACTAGTAATGTTATGGTCAACGTTCAGCAGCAGGTGCAGTAGAACAAAGGAAAAAAGAAAAATTGGATGTTATCAATTTGGAAAATCAGGCTGCATCATTAAGGTCTCAGATGGTTGTGGTAGCTGGCTAGGTTTATCGTTCATCTTTGTGTAGCATCAACACCATCTCTGTGACATAGGCCTCTTAGGAAATTATTAATACTTTCGTTCTTCCTGCAGCTCTGGAGACATATTGTTCTCCTCATGCAAAGATGATGTTATTGACCCCCAATTAGCAGGACACGGGCTCTGGAGTATTTATCTCCTAGAATTGATAGATTTGCATTGATCTGCCCACATTCTTTCTTCCAGTGCCAATGTAAAGTTCAGTCTCAAGCTAACTGGTAGGAATCAGGATCTAGTTAGTGATAGAAGATTAAACATCATTCTTTATATTGTTTAGCTGAGGGGAATCTTAAGGAATTGTCCACAAACTGAAAGATAAGGAATGGAGGTATTACAAGGCAAGACTCTTAGAGTGACCTAAGAGGGAAATTTCAAGTTGTTGAGGCTTGCATGTCCTCTAATTGGAAAAATTCCATCACATCCTTTGTTAAAATTCACTTCTATTATTGCCATCTTCATTTTCATGTAAAAAACAACTAGAGTAAGGCAAGCTTCACTGAGAGGGAGAGGATAAATAGGGGGTAGGGAGTGAATATTCCTTACCTGATGTTTGATATCAAGAGGGTTTTCTTTTTATTTAAAAGTATTTTCATCGCCTTCACCAGTTAAGCATGCCAAATCTGAAAATTCAAAATTCTACAAATTCCTAAACTTGGAGTAACACAATAACACTCCAAAAAGTACGTATTTATATGATCAATTTTAGTGAAGATATTACAAAAGAATTCAAAATGAGAAGGGAAACGGGAGCACAAAAGCTCTAAGATCTCTTCCAATTTAGTTCTCTGAGAACTCATAATCTGTTCACTTAGTAAACTGAACAGGCGAAAATCACATCTCATATGGAGACATAAACATGCATTTAGAGCAGTGTCCAGGACCCCAACGCTAAGTCTATGAATATGATTCAGATCTTGATTCTATACTACCCAATGGACAATATATTTAACATCTCTGAATTTCAGTTTCCTACTCTATAAAGTTGGTGTGCTGTGAACAGTATATCCTATCAGCCCCGACTCCTATATACTGGAAGTGTATAGAAGTATACAGAAGTGTACAGAAGAGATAGCTTAAATAGCCAATGTTTAGGGCTGGGAAGGTAGCTCAGTGGTAGAGCGCTTGCCTTGCATGCATGAGGCCCTGGGTTCAATTCTTCAGCACCACATAAGCAGAAAAAAAAAAAGCTGGAAGTGGCGCTGTGGCTCAAGTGGTAGAGCGCTAGCCTTGAGCTGAAGAGCTGAGGGTCAGCACTCAGGCCCAGAGTTCAGGCCCCATGACCGGACCCAAAAAAAAAGAAAAAAAATAGCCAATGTTTAAAACCTTTTGGTGTAATTCAAAGTGGACAGACTTACTTTTATTTTTAATTTTTTTGTTTTCATGAGATTTTTAATTATCTCTACGTAGTTGTACAAAGGAGCTGGCCTTAACGAAACAATTTATGAATATACTATGTCTTGATCAATGCCACCCCTTTTTCAACATTCTCACCCATCCCTGTCCTACCTGCCCTTTCCCTTACTCTTCTTAATTTTGTAGGACATACATTGGATCCTTGACTGTATTCTCCTCTTCTCCTCCTCATTCATCTACCTCTCTCCCCTGAACTCAACCTCACCTCTTTCATCCAGGTATTTGCCTGTTGAACTTGGACTTGGCCTTTCTAAGGAATTACACTATTTGAGTTCTGATTTGAATCTACACTAGTTCAGTTAATATGTTTGTATTGCACTTGCATACCACCAAACACATTACTTACAAGTTGACAAGCTAAATCTAGCTAAATCTAGCTTGTAAACTCATAAGGAAAAAAACATGTATCCTTTGACTCTCTGAGTCTGACTTTTGGTCTCAGATAGTTGAACAATGTGTTTGGTCTTCAGCATCTTCAGGAGTCAAGGAGGGTTTCTTTTAATATTATTGTCCAGATAAAGATAAGTCAGTCAGGCACTTAATGTGGAGAAAACTTACACAATATTGGCCAGCACCGCACAACTTGAAACAATGACCATAATGGTTGCCTGGATCTTGTAATCAGGGTATATCAGGCGTTCACATGCCATGTACATCAGCACAGCAGTCACCAGCCAGATGCAAAGGACTGACAGCAGGGCACCAAGGATCTCTAGAAATTCAAACGCATAAACACAGCCACACTCAAAAATCTCCCATACATCACCCACTCCCCACAAGAAACCAAACATATTTTTCTTTTACCCTCTGAAAAAGAGGTTTTAAAGTAATTCAGTCAACAGTTCACAAAGAAAAGGTGTGGATGAATTTAAGAACCAAGATGAGGTACTTTAATGTCACATGCATTAAAAAAACAGTGTCTGAGTTCATTATGTTCCTTATTTCTAAGTAATTTCCAGCAAATTTTGAGAACAGATTAATTGCTGTCTGCCCTCACTATTTTCCTTGAGGATTTTAATTTAAACAGGTGCTAAAATGATCGAAACTTATTAGGAGATGAAATAATGAGCCACAAGGAGGAAAATGTGTTTAGAAACTCTTAATTTCCCCATAAAACATTTACGACTTGCCAGTAACAGCACCTTTAGTAGAATAAAATAGTAAAGAGGGAAGGCTTCTGAGGATACTTGATGAAAATAAGTTGCATTTGCCAACCCAACATATTGTCAACACAGAGGAAGCTCTGAGGCTTATCTACACTCTAACAGCCTTCTGGGAGCAACAGGAAAGCAAAGAAACATCAGTATGGAGACATTTGCATTAATATTTGAACATAAAGTACTACTCAATCTGTCCATTGAGGAAAGTGCCTTTGCTCAGTTACTGTTCCTTAATGCTTCCCTTGATCTTTACCCCAATCTCTCAGGTAGATTCTAAAAATCCACATAGGTCTCAAAGTGCCTGGGTCTGGGAGTCACTGGTCATGTTGCTGTCCTTATCGCCCTTTAAATTAGCCCCAGACATGGTCTCCTTTCAAGTGGCACTCCTACTATCTGTCGGTTGCTTCTCAGACTACAGCCTCTTGCATACTCTTCGTGATTTTTGCCATGTTCATATGCTACTTTTTTTTTTTAGCTACTTCATGTTTTCTTCAAATTTACTGCATATGTTTGTCTTCTTCCTAAACAGAGTAACCTATAAAATTACATATTTGATGTGCTTATTTATTTTCAATTACATATCATGATGTGTAATTAATATTCATTTGACACTAAATATCAACTGACTTTCTCACATAATTAGAATAGCTGGGGCAGATGTTTAGGGCATGATTTAAAGTGTCAGACCTATGTGACCTGCCAGTCACTAACTATAGTAACCTATTTGAGCTTGAGTTTCTCTATCCATAAACTATGTATAATAACAGCCTATCGGTACAATAAGCTGACTTATGTTATTCGCTGAATTGTGTCCCTCCTAAATTCATATTGGAAATGTTAATCATAAGGCCTCAAATTTTGTTGTTATTTGAAAATAGAACTCACAGATGGGTAGACTTATTTGTAGCTCATGTAATACAGTGCATGCCTAGCAAGTAGAAGACCATTAGTTCTTAAAAGAATAGAATAGGAAAGAAACTAGGATTCTTCCAAGTATAATTAGTTAAGATAAGATCATATCAGAATAAGGAGAGTCCATATTCCTACAAGGCAGGTATACCTATTCTTAGGGGAAATCTAGACTTCCACATGCCCCCTGGGAATGCCATGTAAATATTAAAGCAGGGGTCTATAAACAAGGTACAATGAAGAATGTCAGCAAACCACCAGGGATAAGAAAGAGGCGTAGCACCCCTTTACAGCGATTTCTCCATCAGTGGGAAAACAGAACCATGACTATTGTTCCCCCAGAGGCACAGAAAACTCAGGCCGAATCTCTTCCACCTGATATAAGGAATAACAGAGGCAAAGCAACGGAGTTGCTATGGTTATGTGTTGGAAAGGGTGTTGTGTACAAAGTAGCCAAAATTAAAAAGACAGTCTCAAAGACTAAACCCTTATTGTGACCTTGGGCTAACACCTACACATGAGCAAATAGTTGCTGTAGTGAAAGAAATATCTCCAAGAAAGGAGCTCCCTCCTCCTTGACTCTTTCTTGTGGTTGATACTGATTGAACATATATTCATCTGAGCTATCCGTTCACAGAATGGCTGTTTTAGTACATTTTCTGCAGACATAACAGGATGCACTAGAGTGGATAATTGATAAAGAAAGGAAGTTTATTTCTCATAGTTCTAGACTCTAGGAAGCGCTAAAACCAAGGTGTCAGCAGCTGTGCAGGCCACAGGGAATATGGTGAAAGGATAAGTAAGCATTCACAAAGTATGGAGGAAATTGAGTGGAACTGAATCTGTTCTGTCAGGAGCCCACTCACCCAATAATAATCCATGAATGAGAACACAACCCTCATGACCTAACCACCTCCCTAAAGGTCCTCTCTTTTAGTACCATCATAATGGCAATGAATTTCCACATGAGTTTGGAAAGCAACACTCAAACCATAGCAATGGATGACTTCTGTTTATGCTCTGGAAAGTCCATATGCTACTATTAACACGCTAGTAAAAAGTGCTCAGTCTCCGCAACTCTCTTGGGCACTGCAGGCCTTATTTCACAATATGGCATGAATTCGAATAAATTTTCTCTTTCAAGGATCCAGAGTAAGAGTAATTTAATGAATAATATCATGGCTGTTCCCCCACATTGAGACCCAGGAGATGATCCTGCAGCTACCATGATGCACATCTACCCTTTGTTCCACAGGAGAGGAGGTAGCACCATTGATCTGGCTGTCTGCTGAATAACTATCAAGAACAGAGATTCCTATACGCATGGTTGTTTTATCCTGGGCACCCAGAGTCTTCCCTTAGAAGGATTTTCTAACAAAACTTTGTTCTTACCCTTTCATTTTTGCCCTCAATCGGACTCTGAGTCACTGTCCTGTCAGTATTGTTAAATAAATTTATACCTGCTCGGTGCCACCCAAATGTCAGTCGCTTGGAAGGGGGCTTGGATGACAACCACAAGGAAAAGAGACTGAGCAAGAAACTGGTCAGGTCAATTAAGAGATGGGCAGCATCGGTGATGACAGCCAGGCTCCCAGCAATATGTCCACCTAGGGGAATTGAAATATTATACACTGAATTAAAGGGTCCAGAATGTAACTAGATTCATATGCATTCTATCCACAGTTAATGAAAATGCTACAGGCTCAAAAACCTCAGGAGAGAGAACATTTTTCAAGTTTATTTAATCCACTTGGGCTTCCCAATGTGACAAAGAAACAAGTCCAGCAAAATGATTAGAATTTGAACTTGGAAAAGCAAACTTAAGATGAAACAACTCCTGGGGGAAGAAAGATTGGAAAGTATGAAGCAAATATGGAGGCCATCCTACTTAGACTAGAGCATCAGGATTCAGAAAAGGGCTACATAAAAGATGAAGTAGAGAGGTGTAGACCAGATTCAAAGAGTAGCATATTCCAGGGTGAGGGTTTAACTTCTGTCTGAAAACCAGATGTTGCAATCTGTATTATTAATTGACTTGTAACTTCAGCATAGACTTTCCTATTTCCTTAGCTCTACTAATTTCTATTATACACCTCAGTTTGAGATCACTATATAAATAGTAGGGAGAGAAAAGGAAATGGGCAAAAAAAAAATGCTTTTCAAAAGGGACTGTTGTCACTGTATTTGATTTCAGTACCCTGGTATTGTATATGCATTTATGTGAGTTAGGGAAGGGGAGGGGAACAATAGAATGGTGAGACGAAAGACAAAGAAAGAACCAATACAACAGTGATATTCACAAGACAATATACTGGGAATCATCTGTACAACTTGAGGGAGTTGAGGGAGGGAAGTAGGAAAAAAATGAGTGAAGGGGTAACAAGTTCAACAAGAAATGTACTTATTACTTATGTAACTGTAACCCCTCTGTACATCACCTTGACAATAAAAAAGAATAAAATAAATAATGTAACCTTAAAAAGGACACATGGAATGCAACAATAATCCAAAAAAGAATGAGAATGAACCCAAGCCACATGTGCCCAGCCTTGCTTTTCTCTCCATTTAATGTGTTTCCTCTTTCTTCTAGTTCTCCACTGAAAAGACCTCCAGCCTCTAAAGTAGAAATTAAAGAGAAAAACCTTGTCCTTTCCTTCCTGAGCGGGCTTGTTGTTTGAGAGCAATAACCTTTATTGCTCTCACTACATCCTCCCAGCAAAGAGCTTCTGCTGACTGATTCACCCTTCCTGCAACTGTTTATTGCCTTGTGTACTACAAAGCAACCGAGACTGTCAGTCATCAGCTCCTCCATCATCTGACTCACCTTGTCTCGCCTAATGATTAAAAAAAATTACATAGATGGCTCATAATTGCAATAATCCCCACAGACTTTGGCTCTAGCTATAGTTAATAACTGGTTTGTCAAAGTTTAATGGTCTGAGGCAAAGTAGTCTTCAAGCTTGTTACTGAGCTGTCAGTGCAAAAATCAGAATGATTCATTAGGCAAAAGGCAACATTTTGCTAACAAATCAGCTGTCCTTCCAATTATCCACTAATGTTGCTCTATCTGCCAAACTGAGTCCTGATAATAAAGCTGTGTTAATAATGTATTATTTCTTTCCTGGAGAATGACTAGATGCAGATAAGCTACATGCTGCAATCTCAGCAGTGAGTGATGATTCTGTGCTACACTGGAAATGTGGCTAAGTCAAGGAGAGGAAGTCATATGGGGAAACTTGAATAGGCTCAGCTGAAATCAAGAGGCAACTGAGAAAGAAATAGGGCTTGCTTTAGAAGCAGCACATGCCTATGGAGAACTGGGACCCCAGAATCATTTTTTTAACCATCAGAATTCATCATGAGAACCTTTCAGAAATCTGTGTCTATTGCTGAATGTTATAGAGCAAATTGTTTGCAAGAGGTGACTTGTGGTTGAGCTTGCATTTGCTTCTAAAAGCATAGGATATTATTGATAATTAATAATCCAGTCAGCATTTATTGAGTGCTTACTGTGCATGGTATCAGGAACAGGGAACATAAAGATAAACAAATCACAGCCCTCCTCTTCAGTGATTTCTAAACTCTCATTGCTGTGAGGCCCCACTACTGGGCCCAGGAACAGTGAATACTGGGGGACCTTGAGAACTCTTCAAAGAAAACTGTAGTGTGAATTAGCAAGAAAAGAGAGATTTTGTTTTTCAAGAATAGGAACAAAGAGAAAAGGAAGAATTGTAACCTTTCTGGAAAGTCAGAAAGTATAGAGGAAAAGAGGAAAAAATGGAAATGAGAGTGGAAAGAGCTAGGACACTTGTGGGAAGTAGTCTATGTCAAGTTCTATTTTACCATGGATTAATTAGGTCTGTTTAAAATTCAAACTCAAGATTGTGTCATATGCAGTTTATATTTGAGAGGAGTCTTTGGAAAGGATGACTGGGAAGGAGGAGAAGCTTGTGGCTAAATGTAACTGCAAAGGTAAAAGAAATCATGGCAACAGCATGTGCAGAACATTGATCAACAACAAAGCAGGAGTGACACAGATAGGACTCAGTACTCGAAACAGAATCTACTTAGGGCTTACAGGGCAAAGGTGGCAGCAAAAGAGTATTGGACTCAAATTTAGACAGTTGGCCTTAAATCTCCATGACATTTTCCATGGAGACTAGAGGACAGGACTGAAAAGAAAACTTCTCTGACAATATTACCTTGCATCCATCACTGTGCAAACACATGCATGCAATATTCTTTGATCAGACTCACATCCTTCTTCACTGTCCATTTTCCCCCTTTTCACTTCCCAAACCAAGTTCAACAATTTCATTGTTTCATTTACACACACGTACATGATTGATGACCATATTCATCCTTCTTTATCCTCTCCATTTGCCTACTCACTTCCCACTAGTATCCATACCTCAGAAGAAACGTTTCACTATCCTAATATTGATTTTGCTAAAGAGTTAATTGTTCATTGCTCCAAGGGGCTTCCCCATGGTTCACATGCCTGTACTGAACTTCAATCAGACTGATCCACTTGCTTTATGGCGTTTCTATAATGAGGAATTTTCACAAACAAATCAGAAGCATTCCCATCTCAACAGGTTCAAAAGGCAATGAATGAAGAGTGGGCACATTAAGCTCTTATCCTTCCTTCCTTCCTTAGTTCTTGCTCCTCTCTGCTCTAGATCTTGTGGCAGTTATCACCCTGAATATGTTTTGGTGACCTGTAGCAAGAACAATCAGGCAAGAGAAGAAATAAAAGGGATCCACGTTAGGGAAGGAAGAAGTCAGATTATCCCTAGATTCTGATGATATGATCTTATACTAAAGAACCATAAAGATTCCATCCCACACTCTCAGATCTAATAAACAGTTTGGCAATACAGTAAGAAACAGCACGCAAAACTCAGTAGCTTTTTGTGCACCAACAATAAACAGTCTGAGAAACATTAGGGGACAATTCCAATCACAATAACCTCAAATAAGTAGAATACCTAGGAACAAACCAAACAAATGGGTTGAAAGAACTCTACACTGAAAAACATAAAACCTTGAAGAGGGAAACTGAAGAAAATCAGAAGATGGAAAGACCTTGATTGTTGATGAATTGACAGAATTAATATTGTAATTCTGGCCATACTGTCAAAAGTAATCTACAGCAAATTCAATGGAGTACCCTTCAAAATCCTAATATCACTCTTCACAGAGTTAGAAAAGTTAATCCAAAAATTTATATGGAAGCATAAATAGCCATCTTGAGCAAAAATAAATGATGTTGGAGGTATCACAATACCAGACTTCAAAGCATACTACATCCATAACAATACCAGCATGATACTAGCACAAAAGCAGACAGGAAAGCCAATGGAACAGATTAGAAAACCTAGAAATGAATCTATGCGCCTCTATTATCTAATTTTTGACAAAGGTGTCCAAAAAGTATATTGGAAAAAAGAGCCACTTCAACAAATGATGCTGGAAAAACTGGAAATCTACATGAAGAAGGCTAAAACTAGAATCTCTTACCCTTACTAATATCAATTCAAAGTGGACCAAAGATCTTAACGTAATGCCTGATACTTTGAAACTACTACAGGGAAGAACAGGTAAAACACTAGATTTTTTGGCATCCACAGTAGCATCTTGGATACGATTCAAATAGCTCAGGAAATAGAAGCAAAGATTGACAATAGGGATCACATCAAACTAAAAAGCATCTGCACACTAGGATAAAAGATACAGAATGAGAAAAAATATATTGTCAGCTATACAAGTGACAAGGTATTTATAGCCAGAATCTACACGGAGCTCAAAAAAACCTAAACTTCCAAAGAAACAACAACCTAATTAATAAGTGGGCATATAAATTGCACAGACAGTTCTCCAAAGAAGTACAAATCAACAGTAAATAAATGAAGAAATCCTCAACATTTCTAGTTATAAAGAAAATGCAAATCAAAAGGACATTGAGATTTAATGGCCATCATAAAGAGCACAAACAACAGCAATTGCTGGAAAAGAAATGGGAGAAAAGGAATCCTTCCACATTCTTGACAGGACTGTAAACTAGTGCAAGCACTATGGAAATCAGTATGGAGGCACACTATGAACAACTGGACATGTCAGAATGAAATTAAGGCTAATTAAAAATAAAAGAAGCAAACAAATGATTAAAATATACCAAATACCAATGGGAAATAATTTTGTCATAAATGATGCTGAAAAGTTGGCTAGCTATTTGGAGAAAAAGTTTTCAATTCTTAGAGCATGTAATATATTTCATTTCACATAGATATGAAAATTAAATGAAAAGTTTAAGCAACTAAAAATAGTATTTATCTTTTAGTAGATGAAGATTGCTAGTGCTGAAATGATGAGTCATGAAAGAAATCTTATCAAAATGAAAAGATTTATACATTTACCTTTATAAAGCTTAAGACATCTCAAAGCCAAAAAAAAATGAAAGTTAATCAGAGAACTACTAGAAATGCTTTAACACTCTATTAAATATAGTTTCCATAGATAAATATAAAGAGACTTAGAAAATTCTCTGAAATGCAATACACAATAGATACTAAGAATGAAGCTGTACATTCACAAGAGAGGGAAATACATATCAATAATAAGCATGCAAAAATGTTCTAACAGTAACAATTAAAGAAATGAATACTAAAATTTACTAACCATTAACAAAGCTTTTAGAGGATTAAAATGTGTTTAGATGACAATTTGAATCATCTTTGCAGACATGCAAATCATATCAAGATTTTGGATAACAATTTGTCAATATGAGCAAGTAAGAAAAATATTCATGTCCATCAAGCATTAGTTCCATTTTTAGAAATCTTTTAGAAGGGATGAGCCAGAAAGACAGAGTTGTAGTCAATTTTCCACTGTAGCATTGTCCACAAGCAGAAAATCTCCCTGCATTTCTAACAATAAATAAATCTCAGTAGGGCCTACTATAAAATATTATTGAGGTATAAAAATGTTTACAGACATTAACGCCATTTTGAGCAGTTTTTAACTCTGGTCATAAGCATTTAGAATATTCTTAATTGGGTTAAAAATTTGTGAGCTATACATAGAAAATAAATTGTACAAAATATTTCATAATGTTATTGGAGATTGTCACTGAAATGTAGGTTACTAATGGAATTTGTTCTTTCTTCTATTTATGTACACTGAGCATGTTGTTACTTTATACATAGAGAATATTAATGCTTTTAAAGAAGAATTTAAGTAACCCTCCTATAATGACACATGGTTTATTTGTGTGTCAGAGACTCCTTCTTGGACAATATTGTGAAAAAAGGAGTTCGCTTCCTTCCTATTAACCTTGTGAGAATATTTTTTCTGAATAGTTCCTTGGTCAGGTGGCTTGACCCTTGTGGGTTACATTTTATTTACATCCTTTCCCTGCTGCACTTTAATTAAGACATCCTTTTAGAAGCTCCTTGAATTTTAGTTAAGTCTTGTTAATTAGCCCATATCCTTTTGCAGACTGTATTCAGCCAATGGGAGCAGAGGGGCAAGGCTTGCTGGGTTAGTGATAAACAGGGAGCCGCCTGTTTGTGTGCTTGCTTGCCAGATTTTTGGCTGATGGTGCACCCTTTTGCAGGAGTAAACTTTACCTTGCTGAGTTCCTTTCGAGTTGGTCTCCTTCTTCCTACAGAACATTCAAACATCCCAAGCCATTTCTACTAATACTCACCCACAACTTCTGCAATCATGAAAACAAAACACATCGCTGAAGCAGCACAAAGTTTCCATTTGGCATGCACTTGCTCCTGTGCTCTGTTTTCCGCGGCCTTTGAGTGGCTGTGGCAATGATAGATGCCTTCTAGTTCCAGCTCTTCTGGCCTTTCTCCAGGAAACTGATCTTGATTCACATGTTTGTGTTGAAGTTCCACACTATGGATAAGTTTGATGAGAGTAAGGAATGAACACGGTTACAAGCAAACGTCTCACTGACAGTACTATTATAGAACCACTGTTATGACATATGCTAACTAGTTGGGAAGTCATCACTCACAGCCCTCCTACAAGATATACCAAGTGTAAGGAACAAGTAAAAATATTTCCTCCTAAATTCACATTTACTACAAGTTTAACTTTCATTTGGCCAAGTGTGTATCTACTCAATACCAACTGATGATTGAGAGCTGACAAGGTGATTGAAAAGGTACAAAAAGGGACAGGAGAAAAAATAGCAGACTAATACAAAACCTTCCAATGTATTTCACTTGGAAAATATTGAGAAACTGTGCCATAAAATAGTAATTAAATAATCAGGGGATGTTGTAAAATATTTTTCATGAGCCAGACAATGATTCAAGTTCAGATGAAAGTCATTATAAGATCACCTCACATGTTCATGCTGAGACCTTGTGAACTGTCAGGGACTTTTCTCACCCCAGTGCAGGCAATCTACCATTCGTGTCATAATGAGATTTTAAACCCTGGAGTTTCCAAAGCAGGCAAGGACTAGCCGTCTATCAAATATACAGCATAACTCAAGACCATTATGGACTCCTAGAATTTCCCAGGTAGAAATGTTGTAGATAACAATTAGTCTAACTGCAGTTTCTTGGCTGCAACTAAGGTCTAGAGAGTTAAAGTCGTTACCTGAGTGACATCAAATCCCCAGGAAATGACAGAGCAGGATTCTAGACATGCTGTTTTCCCACTTGGTCACATACAGCCTTTCTCTCTCAGTGTCAATACACTCAAAACCAATTTTTAGTGTTGCAGATGCCAATGCCTGTGGATTGTGAACTAATCCGATTTCTACAAATTGGTTAACTTGTTTGAATGCATTAATGAGATTCTTAGAATTAAAAATTTTGCATTTCTGGCTTTGTAAGGTTAAAAACACAATAAATTAGCTTCTACTTGAGTGATTTCATTTAGCTTATCATCATCTGGAGTTAAAAGTCTTAGGGTTTTGGCTTAGCTCCTGCACATTATGATGACAAATTATATATTTTTTCAAAATAAAGCCATATCTATATATTCATTATAGGAAAATCTAGAATTACCAAAAAGCAAAAAGCAGGAAAGAGGCATACTTCTGAGAGATAATCATTACTGTTATTGCATAGCTTTCTGATACACATAATTGGGTCTATACTATGTTAGAATATTTTTGTTTGCAAGAATAGAAGACAAAGATTGTGTTATAGAAATGATCAAATGAGAATATTTGGTTTTACAACTGAGGGCACCTAGTGGTGTACAGGGTTCAGGCACTGTTTGAAGAGGGCTATGGACACATTTCTCTGCTGTTTGCAACCATGCTTTAAGTTCAGGCTGGTTTTCTTCATTGTAGGGGAATTCTTGGAATCAGGCCGTGTTTTTCTTTTCTCATATAGAGAAGAGTATCTCTTCTTACACAATTCTAGAAGTACATTCCAATTTGGACAAATGACAACTAACTAGTATAGTCAGAAGAATATGAATGAGCTAATTGGTTTAGGTCATTTCATTTAGGCAAGTGGCTAAATCCAACATGCAGACTCCTAGAACTGAAAACAGGATAACTTCTATGCAAGTTACATGGCCACAACTCTGTGAAACAGCTGCAATTGATATGAGTAAGACTACAGTATCAGAGCAGGATTACAGAAGATACAACTTCAGAACTTTACTCCTGGAAACAGAAATTACCTAATTTCTGCAATTTCTTACATCTCAAATATAATTATTTTTTATACACATAGAAAAATGTATTTAATCTAAATATGCCATAGCATAATTAACTGATTTTATATTATTCAACAATTCTCTTTTCTAATTATTTGCTCATATAAGCACACTATGATTCATATTCTTATGGTTCATCTTTGCTCAATATTTTATTATCTTCTTAATAAGTAATCTTAGAAAGGGAATTACTTGGTCCAAAGGCACTTATCTTTCTATGAATTTGATTGTATTTTATCAAATTAGTTTTGGAAGGTTTCTATCAAGGTTAATAACACTTTGGATTTGGAGCAGATCTACGTAATCTTTGTGAGAATAAGAGCCATTTGGGGGAAAATGACAGGGTATTTAGATCTCTAACAAGTTCCTTTTTGCCTTTGTACTGTAATACACACCCTTGTTGAGTGTGCCACTCAACAAACATAGAATGCTGTGATCACTGGTGCCTATCAACTCAGAGGAGCCATGGCAGCAGGATGGTTTCCTCTCTGAGGTGAGAGACAGTAAGAGGAAGGCAGGCACATTCACGTGCAGTGACACTGTCTCGTCCTATGAAGTTAAGTTTTGTTTTATGTTGGGCATGAGTCTTGTGACTGTAGAGAAACAGATAGCCAGTAACCAGCAGAGAGAATTTAACCCAGAATTGCTGAGAAGCTAGAACAAGGCAGGAATCCTACCAGGAGAACACCATGAAGAGAAGTGTGGAAAGCATAGGCAATTGTTGCTGTTTGATACTGGTTTTCTTTTTCTTTTCTATTTTTTTTCTTTCTTAGGCTCTAAGATTAACTGGTATGGGTACACTCTAAGCTGGCTTTGCTCTTTGAAGCAAACGTTAAGGCAGAAGTACAAAAGAGGGCTTCAGACAGTTCATCACAATTAGATATATGTTGAGGGTCTGAGCATGGAGCTCATGTCTACAATCCCAATTGTGCTGCAGTCAGAGGTAGGATGAGCATGGTCTAAGGCTGGCCCAGGGAAAAAGTGAGACCCTATCCAAAAACTAACTAAAGAGAAAACAAAAGGCTAGGATGTAGCTCAGGCAGCTGAGCACTTGCCTGGCAAAAATAAAGTACTGTCCAACCATAAAATACATACAAAGAAAGAAATTTGATACTGTTTCATGTGTGTATGTTTGTGCCCACTATCTTCTCTGGGCTCACAAAAGATTCTATGACTCTGGAAGTAGGTGTAAACAAAAGTTAAAATACATTCCTCATCTTTTCGTTACAGCAGAGTGATCTAAATGTCTCTAGATGCCTAAGAGGTTCTAGATCTAAAAAATGATGTGACTTCTAAGAAGTACTATTTCAACAAGTGGGTTATAAAAAGTGAACTCAACGATGGATCACAAAATGAAGTATTTACAAGTGATGAATAAAATCTCAGTAGAATCCTAGCCTTCAAGTATTGATGAAAGCATTGAAGAAAAGGAATGAGACCAAATAACACAATAAAAGGATAAAAGAGATAAAGAGAAATTAACAAAACTAAACAAAAACAAAACAGAGCAAGGTTTTAAGAACCTTGTAGTTCATCTGCAAAAATACAACTTAGAAAATGATTTTATTCTCATCATCTTACAGAAACTTTTTAATTTTACTTTGGTTGGTTAAGCTCTCTTGTTTCTCTGTTTTCACAATAGTACTGATGATATTTTTATATCATTTCATGTTGACTCTTTTTGACATGACAATATTACTTTCCTCAAGAAACTCAAATCACTAGCCCTGTAAAAAGAGGGTGAAATCTGAGTTTTTACCAAGCATTTCCAAGATTCCATTGATTCATTCATTCATTCATTCAATAAATATATTTTTACATGCTTGAAACATTCTTACTCTCTCTCGTGTTCTGGGTGCTGTGTTTTAAGACAAAGACTTTAAGAAAGAAATAAGCAGTGACTTGAGTCAATATTAACAGAGATTATAATATAATAGAGAGAGGAAAGAAGATGCTTTATTTTTAATTAATTAAATTAATTTTAACTGATATATAAAAACATAAAAATTATACCGTGAATGCAATTTGATGTTTCAATACATGTGTGTGTTGTACTGTGCTTAAGTCACGCTAAATCTATTTTTCTTCTCAAATTTTTGTCATTTCTTCATGGTGAAAACATTCAAAATACTTTCAGTGACTTGAAATACATTTTACATACGTACAATTGCATAGAATTGTTATCTATCATCACAATAGTATAGTGGCATTAAGTTAGGAGGTAGGAGAATGCGTCTCTGGAGGGATGGTGTCTTAGCAACTAGATAAAAGCAGCAGACCACCTATGAGTGAACAACATGTAATAGGGCATTGTTGATGCAGATGCCCAAAGCCAAGCAAGATATTCTCTTGCTCAAGAGCTTATTTTGAACAGAAATTATATTCATGGCATATGTTTTAAAGTATAATTTTATAAACTTTAGTTTCTATCTTAAAAATGAGAATCATCTAGGGAATAGAAAATAAGCATACTAGATTGGATATGTCTATTTTCTCGAAGAAAAACTACCAAAGGGGAAAAAATAAAGAAAAGGAAGAAAAGCTACAGAAGAAAATATCTGAATGTTTTCTTTATGCACTTACAACATTTAAGAAATAAAACCAACTAGGTAGAGTATTGCATTTTTCAGGATATAGATTACACAGATCCATTGATCACTTCTACAATGTTGCAAATTACCCTCCACTTTCAAAACAGAACTTTACCATTCAGAAGCAATAAAGTCTGGGGGTTTATTATATACTTAAAGCAGAGTAAAATGAAGAAGCAGACACAGGTGTCTGTTACCTCTCTAGTGTGAAGGTATACATCTTGGCTGCTTTGTCATTCACAAGGTGAGTTCGTTCAGGAAATTCCATGATGGCTGGGATGAAAGCTGTTGTTGTTGAATTCACTATCCAGTTTTGGAAGCAAAGGAGCATGGAAGCGATTCACACACTTTCCAAAGAAAATATACATAAGCTTCTAGAACTTAAATTAATGAACCTCCTTCATCCGTGTTCTTAGTAGGTCCACTAAAATTACAGCCTGTTGGAATATCACCTATCATTCTTTCATCCACACTAACTGCTTTCCAAGGATAATTGCAGGTGGAATACTATAGTGCATGTGTGTCTGTGTGTGCCTGTGATTTGACTGCACTTTCTAAAGGGTAAAGGAGTTCAAAGGTTTTTCTACTAAATGCTGATGTAGCAGTTTAAGCTTTACAATACACACACTTGAATGAGCTGCAAAACAGCTGCCCTTCTGCCCTTTGTGATCATTCCCTCCCTCTCACTCAGCCCCTTCCCTCCCTTCTTCCCTCCCACCCCACCCCACTCCCCTCTGGGATTTTTATACTGAAGGAGAGGAAAAGGATCATTCGTTATTGAAGACTGAAACGGAACCTGTTTCCCACAGCTTTGAAACACTTTGATAGGCTATAGGAAGGACAGACTGTCCTTCTGGGTGATAACAGACATCCACCCTCCCACCCATGCCTTGCACAAAAAAACAGGAGTGAACTGTGTTCTCCTTCGTGGAGAGCCCCTCTGCTGAGGATTAACGACTCACCCTAGGAAACTCTGTCAGGCTCACCCATCACACTCTCAGGAACAAAGTCTTCCAAGTTGCTCCTCAGAGACCTGCAATTCACAAACTCCCAGGAAGCGACATATTATTTCTGAAGCACTCTTTTTCCACATGAAAGAGAGCACAGAAAATCTTGATCATGTAGCAGGTATTGTATGTGAACCAAAGATCTACAAAGATTTAATAGAGAGATGAGTGGGGGCAGAGTAGAGAAGACAGGTGAGCCCCAGACCACAGGATTCTCATTGCCTCTGCATTCCTTCTGATGAAAACGCTGAGTGGTTTTGTCTCGAATAATTCAGTGTCTCAGTGTCATAGGACTTTCTCCATCTTGTTGACAAGCGATCACTGATAATGGCCTAATAAAGTAAAGCTCATCCCTTGCAGGGAGAACAGGGTCAATGACAATGGGAGTAGGCAGTATTGCTGAGAGGGAGAATGAAATAAGGCTTCAAGCACTTGCTCTATACCATAATCTAAGGTCTCTTCATAGGACCCCATCCCTGGCTGACTCAGTGAGGAATCAGAAAAATGGTACTGGGGAGGCCTTGAAAAGACGAATTTTTGTTAGTCTAATAAAACCAAAAATATTTCCATTTCCTATATCCTTACTTAACTTTCCAAAATTAACATTTCAAAATAGTAGGCTTCTCTGTGGCGGAAAGTTAGAAAACAAGAAAATGATTGCTAATCCACTTGTGTATGCCAAGTGTCTAAAAACCAAGGAAAAGTGTTCAAGATCGGGCAAGGGGAAAGAAGAAAAGATAAGCAATATTCAAATTCAGAAAAAGAGAGTATTTGGCTAGAGATGTCAACACGACAGGCAACTCTTGAGTCTGAGAATGCATTGCACCAAGATGTGTAGATACACCCATGTTTCTAGACTGTGGAGTTACCTACTATGTTGCAATATGGATGCACTGGGGCAAGGAGAGAGTGAGTTAGGTTTGATGTAGGACAGGATGAGGTAGTGATGAGAAAATAGGTAAAAGTGGAAAGAAAGGGCAACACCAAAAACTATATTCTATATTTCCTTCATTTTGTCTGTGAGTTGAACTGCAAAAAATGGTCATTTTCATAATCCATGAACCGATCATTTCACATGGTTCGACCTAATTATAAATGAACACCTCTATAAAATATGTATCACTATGTATATTTAAAAAACAAAATGTGCACGTTTTTAAAACATTGAAAAACGAGGTACCGTATTCATCAAAGATTTATAAATTTCTAAGTGCTACTCTTGAACTACCATCAACCAAAGCTTCTGGAACGAGTATGGCAAGAGCAGGGCACAGTGGGTTACAGGAAATCAGAATCATATGGGAAGCACAAAAGTTGCTTTGCTGTGATAAATTCAGATACTGTAACAAGTATTGCTTTTATACTTTTAAAAAATGCCTTCATGTTGTGCTGTAGAAAAGTCATCTGTTTATTACCTTTTCCTCTCATAAGCTCATTTTACCTGCAGTGATGCCCTCCCCTCGCCCAGCTCCAGCTTCCTCCCTCCAAATACTTCTGAAAAGCTGCTCATCTTTCCTGAGTGACTTGTGGTCCCCCTGCGCATGTGCTGCCCACCGAGGGCCAGGAGCGCTGCCAGGTCAAACTGCACACAAGGCCAGCTGACAGTGTAATAACCCATGGGTTATATAACACCACGGGGCACCGCACACAGCAGGGCTTCCGGAGGCTGACGTCACCGCCCCACGGGGTGCCGCCAGAGGGGCGTGCCACGCCCCCGGAAGGGGTGGGGCACACCACCAGAAGGGGCGGGGCAGGCTACTGGAGGGGGCGGGGCATCAAGAGGCGAGCCTCACTGCTCCACAGACCGCTGACATCACTGCCTCAAGGGACACTGCCAGAGGGGCGTGCCATGCCGCTGAAAGGGGGTGGGGCACGCTGCCGAAAGGGGCGGGGCATGCTACTAGAGGGGTGGAGCGTTGAGCCCCACACCGTGAGCTGTTAGGAAGTGATTGGACAGTGGGCAGCTTGGGGGAGGAGCATGAATGGCAGGTGGAAAACCGTTAGGGGAAGAACGGTTAGGAAAGAAACCGTTAGTACGGAGTTAGCGCAGAGGAAGGGGAGGCGTAGGAGCTGAGGGAGAGCCTGCCGGAGGGGAGCAGCGCAGGCCTGTGGAGGGCAGCGCAAGCCTCGGGAGGCCATTCGGGAGAGGCCGGGGCGAGGCCTCCGGAGCAGGGCAGGGCAGGGCAGGCCTGGGGAGAGCGGAGAGGCCTGCAGAGGAGGAGGAAGGAGGGGAAGGCAAAGCCTGCGCCTTTGGAGCTTTGGAGGTCTGAGGTTTGGGGGTCTGAGGTTTGGAGGTCTGAGGTTTGGAGCTTTGGAGGTCTGAGGTTTGGAGGTTTGGAGGTCTGAGGTTTGGAGGTTTGGAGGTTTGGAGGTGTGAGGTTTGGAGGTGTGAGGTTTGGAGGTTTGGAGGTGTGAGGTTTGGAGGTTTGGAGGTCTGAGGTTTGGAGATTTGGAGGTTTGGAGGTTTGGAGGTCTGAGGTTTGGAGGTTTGGAGGTCTGAGGTTTGGAGGTGTGAGGTTTGGAGGTCTGAGGTTTGGAGGTTTGGAGGTGTGAGGTTTGGAGGGTTGGAGGTGTGAGGTTTGGAGGTTTGGAGGTCTGAAGTTTGGAGACTTGGAGGTCTGAGGTTTGGAGCTTTGGAGCTTTGGAGGTCTGATGTTTGGAGGTTTGGAGGTGTGAGGTTTGGAGGTTTGGAGGTCTGAGGTTTGGAGGTTTGGAGGTTTGGAGGTCTGAGGTTTGGAGCTTTGGAGCTTTGGAGATCTGATGTTTGGAGGTTTGGAGGTGTGAGGTTTGGAGGTTTGGAGGTTTGGAGGTCTGAGGTTTGGCGGTTTGGAGGTTTGGAGGTTTGGAGGTCTGAGGTTTGGAGCTTTGGAGCTTTGGAGGTCTGATGTTTGGAGGTTTGGAGGTGTGAGGTTTGGAGGGTTGGAGGTGTGAGGTTTGGAGGTTTGGAGGTCTGAAGTTTGGAGACTTGGAGGTCTGAGGTTTGGAGGTTTGGAGGTTTGCAGACTGACTGATAAAGGTCGGGGAGTGGGGGGTCACCCATTGGAGGCTCGGGGTTTGGAGGTCCAGGCTGCCCTTGGCTCTGGGTGTCCAGCCCAGGACTAGGTAGTTGCAGGCCCCTTTTGGGTGTAGGTAGTGTAAATAAATTTATCTTTACCTGTGTCTCGATGGATGGCCTCGCTCTTGAGAGGTCATAATTTTTACATGTAACTGTCTTGTAAAGTAGATACAAAAACGGTAAGATCTTTCACCTTGGTGGTTTCTTTTCCCCATTATTTTGGCAATATTTTGACAGTAACAAAGTGATTTCATATGGGAGCTTGCAACTTAGAGCTTGTGGTTTGGCCACTTCTTTTTTTTTTCGGGCGGGTGGAGGGGGGGTCCGGTCATGGGGCCTGAACTCTGGGCCTGGGCGCTGTCCCTCAGCTCTTCAGCTCAAGGCTAGCGCTCTACCACTTGAGCCACAGTGCCACTTCCGGCTTTTTTTTTTTTTGCTTATGTGGTGCTGAGGAATCGAACCCAGGGCCTCAGGCATGCAAGGCAAGCGCTCTACCACTGAGCCACCTTCCCAGCCCTGGCCACTTCTTTAGATAGGTGGCATTGAAAAACTTGTGTTACCTCTTCACTCTGGACATATTTTGTCTATAAAAAAAATAACAGTAAAATCCATCTTACAGAGTTTCATGATAGGAAAAAGAGAATCCATTTTTAAGAACCTCTTGTTATAATCTCATATATAACCAGCTGCTCATTGTTATGTAGACTAGCCATGTTTAAGTAAAATAACTCGGCTATTCTTTTTTTTTTAATTTTATTTTATTTTATTTGAGAACATATTGTACAGAGGGGTTACAATTACATGGCAGGAAAATGCATACATTTCTTACCAAGCATTGCAGCCTCCTCCTTTGTTTACCCTTCACTTCCCTTCCCAGCCTCCCCCCTCCCCCCCACCCAAACATACCCCCCCTCCCCCCCCCCACCGACATTGTAAAGCTGGTTTTGACATGACATTTTGTATTTCTCATTGTTGCAACAGGTCCACCTGAATCCTTAAACGACTTGTTTGTCCCCGTCTCCTCCACATGTTATACTGACATCAAATATAGTGAAAGCGGGGGTTACACTGTGGGGGAGGGACATACAAAGCAACAAAGAAATAATCTTATAAATGCGTTAGAACACATGCATGAAAGAAACAAAAACATTAAAATACATATTTGAGGGTTCGTTTTCCTAACATCACATTCTCTGACTTTTTCCG